TATTGAAACTTCTAACCTATGAATCGAGTATACTTCTTCATTTATTTCCCACATTTAATTTCTTTTTTGTATGTGTTTTGTAGTTTTCAACATATAGAACCTGCACATTTAAAAATTTATACCGAAGTCTTTCATTCTTTTGGTGCTAATATAAATAATGTTGTATTTTAAATTTTGAATTCCAGTTGTTCATTGGTAGGGTGTGAGAATTTTTCATATACTTCCTTACTATACTTTTAATTTGTATAGGGTGTGCAGTGATAGCCCCCCTTTCTTTCCTAATGTTGGTCATTTGTATCTTTTTTTTTCTTTGCCAGTGTTAGTAGAGATTTGTCAATTTTAATAATTTTCCCCCAAAGACCCAACTTTTTGTTCCATTGGCTTTTTCTGTTTTTCTTTGGTCAGTTTTCTTTCTTTTTTCATCTCTATTATTTCCTTCCTGCTCTTTGCTTTGGGTTTAGTTTTATTCTTTTTCTAATTTCTAAAGATGAGAACTTATTTGAGCACTTTCTTTTCTAATAGAAATGTTAGATATAGTAAATTTCCCACTAACCAGAGCTTTAACTGCATCCCACAAGTTTTGAATTTCATATTTTAATTTTTATCCAGTTCAGCATATTTCTAGCGTTCCTTTGACATGTCCTTTTTTTACCCCGGGGCTGTTTACAGCTGTGTGTGTAATTCTGAAGTGTCTGGGGCTTGTTCAGGCATTTTCCAGCTATTGCTTTCTAGTTTAATTCTGTTTTTATCCAAAAACATACTCTGTATGATGTTTATACATTGAAATTTGTTGAGATTGGCTTGGTAGCTCAAAATATGCTATATATTAGTGAATGTTCCGTGTACACTTATAAGGAAAGCATATCCTGCTGCTGTTGGATGGAACGTAACTGTTAACTAGATCTAGGGGGTTGATAGTGTTTTTCAAGTCTTCTGTTCTTTCTTACTGATTTTCTGTATACTTATTTCATCAATCACTGAGAGTGGAGTGTTGAAGTCTTCAACTATAATTGTGGATTTGCTTACTTTTTGTTTTAGCCTCATTAATTTTGAAGCATTGGTTTAACTGCTACATATTTACTACTGGTATGTGTTCACAGGGAGGTAAACCCTTTATCATTACATAATATTCCTGTTCATCCTTGATAATATGTGTCTACTTCGATATTAGTATATAGTTTTTTCAGTTGTATCTTAATGTTTTAAGGAACTTCTTTCTCTAAACTTTACTTTCAATCTATTATGTCTTTCTATATGAAGAGGATTTCTCATACACAACACAACTTGGGACTTGCTTTTTTATCCAGTCTGTCAATTTTTCTTTTAATTCATGTGTTAGACCAATCCTTTTAATGTTATTTTTCATGTAGCTGGAACAAAATCTACTCTTGCCAGCTATTTTCTATTTGTTTTTTTCCTTCTTTGTATGCCTAAAACATTTTTATGGTTATATATATTTTCTCCTATTGACTTGTCTTTTAAGAAAATTTAGTTGTCTGCCTTCAAATATTACATGTCATATAAAGACTTTGTAACAGTATATTCACAATTGCTTCTTTCCATCCTTTGTGCTATTGTTGTCCTATCTTTTACATTTATACATGCTGCAAGCACACGGCACAGTTACTACCATAGACATTATCTTTTAGAATGAGCAATTTAAAGGTTTTAAAATTTTTTATCTTCATTTATTCTATTTCTGTTGTTTTTTTTTGAGTAAATATGAATTCCCATCCAATACCATATTCTCTCTGCCTAAAGAGCTTCCTTTCACGTGTATCATCCAGTAGGTCTGCTGGCACTGGAGCGCCCAGTCTGTGTTTTCTAAGAAATTCTGTATTTATCTTGCATCTTTGAAAACTATTTTCAATGGGCATAGAATTTTTTGTTGCTGTTTTGTCACCGTTACCGTGTTTCACTGGTAGCACTCCATTTTTTTCCTCAGTTTCCATCTTGCAGCTGAACCTCCCACTTGTTATTGTATGTTGTTCACCTTTCTCACTAAAGCCTTTAACTTACCAATTACTTCAAATTCTCTGAAAGTTCTTACATCTGTATCATATGACTGGTTCTGATTGCTTTTTCTATGGCTTTTCTTGCCTTGTAATTTTTGTTGAAAGCTAGACGTCTTGTGGAAGACAGTAGAGACTAATGTAAACAGTTTTATGCCTGACAAGGAGCATGCCCCTCCTGCTAGGCCTTCTGTGAGGGAGTTGGAGCTTCTCTAGCGAGGAGTTAGATTGGACTGGAGAGATTTGTTGTTAAGGCTACCATCAGAGTACCAGGAGCTTGATTCCTATAGAGACACTTTTTACTTGGGATGGGGGTTGGATTACAAGAGAAATGCTTGTTTGGTTCCAGTTTTCAGTCTTTCCTTTGTGCTGTGCCTCAGAGGGCTTACACATTCTGTTCTTCTGTTCCCCTCCCAGCAGTTTTTTTTGCTCTAACCGCTCATTTGAAGCTCCTTAGCTCAGCATTAGGAGGTAGGAAGGTGAGATGCTACCTCTCTTCTGCTCCAGCCTGTCTTCTGCGTGCACCATGTTCTCAGGTCTCTGGGCCTATTGCCCTCTCACTGTTCTAGCCTCCCTCAGCTGTTATGGTAGACTCAGCTGGCACTCTTGTCCCTCCTTAAAGAGTAGTATTTTTTTCTACTTATCCCCCCTCCCGAATGTAGTAAGTTTTCACCTGTGTCCTGGGGGCAAGAATGCTCTGTGCCCTTCTCTCACAGGATAAAGTGTTTGTTCCCTGGTGGAGAGAGGGGAGATGGACCCGGGTGGAGTTCCTTGTTCCTCCTAAATGGCTGCTGCTCCTCTCCCCCAGATCGGGACCACACTGGATACTCAGTGCTCTTTTCTGGAGTGCTTGAGTGGTGTGCATAACACACAGCCTGCAGGAGAGTTGTAGCAGAGGATTCCGAGTCCTGCCAGCCCACACTTGGCTCTAGACAATCTGTCAACCATTTAGCTCAGCTCCTTTGACCAGTGTCCTGTTGCATCTACCTCAGATGACACAAGCTTGTGTCTCCTCTCTTCCTACAGACACTATCTCTATGTTGCTAGAG